TTTTTTTTTTTTTTTTTTTTTTGTGTGTGTGTGTGTGTGTGTGTGTGCACAGCTTTATGTTTTCATTTTTTTCCCTCAGTGCCAGGGTGGACCTCACAGTGCTATTCTACAGAGCTATTTTTAAAAAGGGATTTTACTCTGGAGACAGGAGGATGAGGAGTTTCAGGCCAGTCATGGCTGCCTAATGAGTTCAGGGCCAACCCGGACTACATGAGACCCTGACTCAAAAACAAAAAAGTGGTGGCGGGGCCTGGAGAGATGGTTTAGTGATTAAGAGTACTCGCTGCTCTTGCAGAGGACCCGGGTTTGATTTCCAGCGCCCGAATGGCACTCACGATAACTCTAGCTCCTTTTGGAGACCTCAGGCATCAGGCATGCATGCCATGCTCAGACAGACATGCAGGCAAAAAAGCTATGCACATAATTTTTTTTAAAAAAGAAAAAGTATTGAAAAGGGGGCTGGATAGATGGCTCAGCGGTTAAGAGCACTGGCTGTTTTTCCAGAGGTTCTGAGTTCAATTCCCAGCAACCACAAGGTGTCTCACAACCATCTGTACTGAGATCTGGCGCCCTCTACTGGCCTGCAAGCATATATTCAAGCAGAACACGGTACACAAAATAAATAATAAAAAAAATTAAAAAGAAAAAAAGCCATAGTTAGGACAGAGTAACCTGTTTTCAATTTGCAAATTTGTATGCACATACAGAGGCCACCAAAGGGCAATGCTGTTAACAGAGATGGAGACATGGAGTCACCCTGTGCGTAAGTTACAAGCAAGATGACTTTTGCATTTCCCCTGTACCCTGGTCCAAGATGGAGGATTAGTCTACCATGCTGATCGCATGGTAGATTCTGGTGCCCGGATCAATGTCGGGCCCTGAGATGGAGATTTTGGGTCCGGTGACTAGAGGAGGACTATCCCTTATCTGAATAATGCGGATAATAACTGCTTCTGACTGGAGTCTTACAAGAAACACTGACACATCTCAGCTGTGCCTGCCTTAAATATAAGCTGTCTGACATTCCAAATCCCACTACTGCCCAGACATGAGCAGGACAGAAAGACAGCAAAGATGTCTAGGGGCAGCAGAACATGACTGAGGGACCACGTCAAACCTTTGAGGGATAAGAATGTGTCCAAGCTAGGATTACATCACCTCCCTAGCCTGAGACTGGGTCTGTGCCTGGCAGGAAGAATCCTGATGATTTGGAAGAGGGTGCTCTAGCACCAAGACAAATGTGACCACTGGCTGTGGTGGCACAGGCCTTTAACCCCAGCACTTGGGAGCCAGAGATAGACGGATCTCTGTGAGTGAGTTCAAGGTCAGCCTGGACTAAAGAGCAAATTCCAGGGCAGGTTCCAAAAAGCTACAGAGAAACCCTGTCTTGACCCCACCCCTCAAAAAAAAAAAAAAAAAAGGAAATGTAACCAATGAAGGACCCTGGGCAGGACAGGGACTTTTCTTTAAAATTCTCTAGACAATATATTCTGAAAATGTAGGACAGGGACTTTTGGCGGTCCATGTACGTTACTGTTTCCTGTACATCACTTGTCACTGAAAGAATTCTATCTCCACCTTTCGGATATTACTAAATAGGTGCAGCAACTATTGCTGGGAAGAATTCCAACAACACACTAACGCTACAGTGGGGGAAGGGCTTAGGCCTTGAAAAGGCAACAGGCAATTTATATTCCCTGTTCAGGTAAATATTCAACACCCCCTCTCCCCGAGGAACATGACCTCAAACTTCTACCACTACAACCCACAACTTTCTTGCCAAAAATGGACTGTGCCCTGGATCTGTGAGCTAAAATGAATGTCACTGGGTTTTGTCTGGTACCATGGGGTCTCAGTAAGAGACAAGTAACTAGAACAACGCTCATACATTTTAGATAGCTAAGGAACTGCCCACCTCTTAATCTGTGTGGGTTCAATCCAGATACACTTCTGAGCGATTGCTATATTTATCAATTTCTATTTTCTTCAGAGCTCACGACTTCCGCAGGTAACCTGGACTCCCTCAGCTCAGGCTGACCCCTGGGGGAGCAGAGCAAGTAGGCCATTTACTTTTGTGTCTCTAAGTAGCTGTTGAGAGCTGTTCTCGAGGAACTGATTTTCTTTAGAGCTGCCTGGGAAGCCTGCTTAGGATCTTGTGGTGGGTTGCTACCGCCTCCCCATACCAGACGCCCACGCAGTGCAGGCCAAGCATGGATGAAGTATATTTATATAGTAGTTTCCTGTGCAGAGGCAAAGGGCTTAACTCTGCAGAGGTAAAGCCAATACCTTTAAAGGCAAGGGCATGGCGCTTTACCACAGGGCTGCTGATGGAGAAGCAGCCTCTATGCTCCGTCATTTACTAATTAGGAAAAACGATGCTCATTTCTTAGGCGTTTAGTTCAACAATACATTTGATTTGCTGATGGGCAATATGTAATTTTTCCATAGTGATTATTTTTCTATTGTATTTATTTGGGCAACCCATTTTTCACTCTTCCAGAACAGAAACACTACTTCTCGGGATCATGAACCTGGCAGTGAGAGCTGACTTTCCGGCAGGGCGCCCTGCTCCTGGCTGCCCACGCCATTCAGGCAAGCTGATGGCACCTGCCCGCCACGCGTCTCCCATAATGATGTGGCAAGTCCAAGTTTCAAGCTTCTCATTTAGATTCTGAGACCGGCTGGCTTCTTTTTCCTTTTTTTTTTTTTTTTTTTCCCAGAGAAGAGAAAATGAGTCTGTAAACACACGATTTTTCCTTTTCACACTTGGCCTTCCTGATAGAGAATCGAGCAAAAGCAGCCCCCAGGCGGGCAGGGTGGCACAGCACGGGTGCGGGTGGCTGCACCCGCAGGGTGATCGGGAAGCTCGAAAGCAGCCTGCAGAACGCTACCACCGCATCTTCCTGGACCCTCGGCTCACACACAGGTCCGGCCCGGGATCCCGGGGGACGGGACACTGGCTTCGGCTGGGTCTTCCCGCCGGGCATCAGGCGTCTCCACTACCGCAGCGCCATGCCCTCTGCAGAAAGGACCAGGCTGCCCGGCTCCTTTGTCTGCACCCAGCCCCACCTTCCTCCTTCCTGCCGCCTCCCCCCTCCTTCGGGCGGGCGCGGCTGACGCGGCACGGAGGAATGCGTTTCCGGAGGGAGAGAAAGGCCTGGCTGCCGGCCCGGGACAGGGATCTTCGCGGCGGAGGCGGGGCCGGCCGGCTTCCTGAGGGAGTCGGCGGCCCGAGTCTCCGCCCACGCGCTCAAGAGCCGCGGAGACCCGCCGAGCGGCCGAGGCCCGCCGACACCGCCCGAGACCAGCCGAGAAGCCGAGGCCGGCCGACACCCGCCCGAGACCCTCCGAAGGGCCGAGGCGCGCCGACACCCGCCCGAGACCCCCCGAGAGGCGGAACGCGGCGGAGCCCGAGCCGCGCGCGTGCCGGGCGGACGCTTGCGGAAAGGTAAGGCCGCGGGCGTAAGGACGCGCGGGCGTGGGCTCTGGGCTACGAGGGCGGCCTGGGCCGGACGGACTCGGCCGCGCCGCCACGTCCGGCTGCAGCTCCCCCCCGCCCCACCCGGCCTGGCCGAAGGGAGGGTCTCGGAGGGAGGGTCGCGAGCCCCGCCTGTCACCCTGGGGCGTGGCGGGGCAAGGCAGGGTACGACGGGGGTCGCAGTGTCTGGAGTCCCCCGAGGGGTACCGTTCGTCCGTGACCGGCAGGCGCCTTTCCCGAGCGCCACGCGGGACCCCGGGAACCAGGCCGAGGCGTCCGTGGTCCGCGAGGCGGTGCCCGCCCGCCCGCCAGCCCGGGGCCTCGTGCTTACTCTTTCTCATGCCTCCTAGTGACAGCCTGGGCTTATGACCGCCCTGATCCCGAATGCCACAGTGAATTTGAACTTTTAATTTGAAACCTAGCACTTGGTGGTAAAGTGAGTAATAAATTATACCGTTTCCGTTTCCTCATCTGTAGAAGAGAAAAGGAGCCCCTACACTAACTATAGTATTAATTGTGATACTAGGGACAGGGTCGGGCCCAGCTTCCAGCCTGTGTTTACACGTACTGACCTCACTGCAGACCCCCATTCCTGGTGGTGTCGGGACTCTTTTATCTCCTTTTCCAAATGAAGACACGGAGGTGTGGGAGTTTAAGAAGTTTGGAGAGTTCATGGGCTCACCTCTAGAGCCCAACTTGAAGTAACCGCACCTAATGTAAAATAAAGCAGGTATATTAATATAGGATACAGGTTTCTAGAGCAATGTCAGTCTGGATTTCAAAAAACAAACAACCAACAAAACAAGATACAGTAAAATGTAAAACCGCAAGCTTAGACAATAATGCTCCATACGTACTGATACCTTTTCATTGCTTCTTGGTACATTAAAAAGACCTACAAACTTCTTAGAATGTTTTGGTAGCATTTAGAATGTTTCCTGGCTCTGCCATTCCACGTTGGATGTGAAGAGGGTAGGGTGACTTGGGTTTATTTTTGTTTTTTTTATTTTTGTTACTGCTTGCACAGCACAAAAATAAATGTTAGGTGAATTTTGACTAGATTTCTTTCTTGAATCACACACAGCCATTTTAATAAATAGTTGTCACCCTAGAAAACTGTAGAAAAGACTAAGAAATTTTAGTTGAGAGTTACCCATTCCAGATTTATGGACATCATGGCGAGAAGGGAAGGACTGACTTATTCTCAGAGTGATATTCAGATTTATGAGTGATGTTGATTCATTCACCAATGATTAATAACTGAAGATGATGGAATGGCAAACATACAACGGGTGAAACACCGGTTTGGAGAGTAGAGATACTAGGATGGTATTTTCTTAGGCGAGCAGAAAGCAGATTCTAGCTTATCTGTATTGAGTTCACAGTGCTACAGATGAAGAATGTGTGCTGTTGAAGTCTTTCTAGAAGGACGTGAAGCTCTGTACTAAGGTGGTTTCTTTAATTATAGTTTATAATTATTTTTATGTGTGGGTGTAGTGACAGGCATGTGTGGAGGTCAGAGGATAAATTTTCTTCCTCCATCATGTGGATTCCAGGGATTGAATAGAGGTTGCCTAGCTTGGGAAAACACGTTCATGTGCTGAGCCATCTCCTCGGCCCCGGTTGTTACCTTTTTAAAGGTTTTATTTTAATTTTGAGATTTACGTAGGTGGGTGTTGGCTTGCGTGTAAGTTTGCAGTGTGCATTGCAGTGTCTGTGGAGGACAGAAGAGAGAGTCAGATACCCTGGAACTGGACCACGGATGGCTGTCATCCACCGCGTGGGTCCTCTGGAAGAGCCGCCAGTGCTCTTAACCACCCAGCATCTATGGCTCCACCCCTCTCCCCCCCCCCCCCCCCCCCCCCCCCCCCCCCCCATGGTGCTTTTAATCTTCAGTGTTCTATCCATGAAAGTACAAGTTCATGGGGCTGGAGAGATGGTTTAGCAGTTAAGACCACTGACTACGCTTTTCCAGGACCCAGGTTCAATTTCCAGCACCCCCATGACAACTCACAACTGTCGGTAACTCCAGTTCCAGGGGGTCCAGTACCCTCATACAGACATATATGCAGGCAAAACACCAACGCACATAAAATAAAAATAAATTATTAAGCAAAAAGTACAAGTCCAGAATTAACAAAGTTGAAAAGTCACTGGATTTCGTACAACCCCCACCCCCTACAGGGTTTCTCTGTATAGTCCTGGCTGCCCTGGAACTTGCTCTGTAGACTAGGCTGGCCTCAAACTCACAGACATCTGCCTGCCTCTGCCTCTGCCTCTGCAGTGCTGGGATCAAAGGCTTGCGCCATCACCACAGGACCCTGGGTTTGTGGTGCTTCTAACAACACTTGTTTCAATTTTCTCATCAGCCTGACTTGAATCTGCCCAGAATCAGCATCACTGAAATGAAAATGTAGTTCTGTGTTGATTACTTCCAAGTATAATTGATCTCCTCTCATTACTGTTATTACAAGGAAGGTTAATTGGTTTGACAGATTAATTTGAAAATTAGTAAGTTTGTCCAGAATGCTTGCTGTGTTATGTAGTTCCTTTACTTTTTTGCTAACAAAACCAACCCTGGCTTACAGGTAGAGAGGGGTGTATAACACAGCATGTTGTCTGAAGAAAACCCTTTTCCTAGTGTTCTGTAAATGGGCTGCTGTTAACTGCTGCCAGAGTGGTCAGAGAAACATGTTGTAACTGGTGAAAGTTCAGAGGACTTTTTTCCCTCATAATTTAAATGTAAAATTCTTGATGCGTCAGAAGCCCTGTTGATTTGAAGATTCACTGTGGATAGAATCCAAGATCATATTTTGTGGATATGTTAAAATAAGCTTTTACCATTTATCTGCAAATTAGTGAGTTTGAGAGTTGATTATATTCATGTTTACTCTTATATTACTGTTTATTGTGACTTTGGTTATATGTTTGCAGTTTGCTTGTTGTATGTCAGTTAGGTGGTAGTCAGGGATGTGAGGATAAGGGAGGAAAGAGGAAGCGAGTCTTCTGGATTGGGTCTGGAGTGATAGCGATACCGACTCAGGAAGCGGAAGTGCGCTGACAGGTTAGTGACCGCAGCAGGTAGGAGAGGGCGGTTCAGGAGCTAACTGCCTGGGAAAGAACGAAGCTCTCCTTTGTAAACGTCACAGTTTGAGGACTTTGTTTTTGGTGTGTGGCTTTAGAAGATAATAGTTATCTTCTAAATACCAGTATGTCTAGCACGCATGTCATCATGAAATGTGCACATGGGGAAAAAGACTCAAATTTACCTCCTACGTTAGAGTTTCAATTGCTGTGATGAAACACCGCGACCAAAAGCAAGTTGGGGAGAAAAGGGGTTATTTGACTTACATGTCCATGTTGTTGTTCATTATTGAAGGAAGTCAGGACAGGAACTCAAGCACGGCAGGAACCAGGAGGCAGGAGCTGATGCAGAGTCCGTGGAGGAGGGCTCTATTGGCTTGTGCGACCTACTTTCTTATAGAACCCAGGACCACCACCCACAATGGGCTGGGCCCTCCCTGGGTCCTCCCCCTTCCCATCAATCACTAATTGAGAAGATGCCTTAAGGCTGGGTGTCTTAGAGGCTCAGCTGAGGCTCCTTTTTCTCTGACTCTAGCGTGTGTCAAGGTGACACACAAAACTAGCCAGTACACAGACACAAATACGTACATACCTGTTTGCATATACATGCATGTACATACTATGCAATAATTTTATGAATATAAGAACATATGGGTGTGTATACATGCATTCCTTACCTACAGGAGCAGTCTCATTATACCAAGGCTTCAAAATACAGGTTTCTCTGCCCAGGGAGATATGAAATGACTTATCGGACTCTAAGGAAGAACATTTTAGATACTGAATTTATAGCTTTTAAAAGTTCAAAGTGTTTATCGTGATGACTAATCTTATTGTATTGCTATAGAAATACATGTATTTTAATTTATAAACAATGGGCATGCGGATACTCAAATTTTTTGGTGACAAAGGTGAGACTCAGAAACTTAAGAGATCTCAAGTGGTAGCAGGGGAAACAAGAATTATTCTGTTTAGGAAGGAGAATTGGTGAGACGGGTCCATGTTGACAGAAACAAAGGTAAATGCTAGCTAGGTGGAGGCAGTGTGACCACAAGAGGGTAGGCTCTACAGTGGTGACCTCAAGCCTGGGATTGGAAATTATTCATCGTCAATACTGGCTGATAGTGTAGGCTGCAGATAAAAACACCAGAGTGTAGAGTAGAAAGGGGGCCGTTCGCTTTCCCAGTTTCTTCGCCAGCCATTTTAGAGAGTGGGTAGGGATATGTCAGGTTTCCTAGCAATTAGTGTGTTTAAATTAAAGACTAGCTTGTTTCTACACCCCTTCCCTAGAGCAGTGATCACAGCCCCAGTTTGGCTTAGAAGTGTCTTCTCTCTGGGAAACCCTGGTTCCAGAGAAGTCTCTGACTCAGGGTTTCTGGATGCCTTTGGAGCTCCACTCCCTAGGACTTTGGTTTCACATCTGCACTTCGCTCTCACTTCGAGATGAGAGGCAGTGGCTGCTGGATCTCAGGACTGCAGGATACAGTCTTTTGTTCTTTCATGAGGAACCATTTTCTTTAAAATTTAAAAAAAAATATATTTTTAATTATCTGTAGATGTGTGTGTGTCTGCATATGAGATCATGCACTGAATGCAAGCTCCTTCAGAGACCAAAGGCTTTAGATTCCCTGGAGCTGGAGTTAGAGATGGTTGTTAGCCAGCTGATGGGGCTGTGGGAACGGAAGTTGGGTTGTGTGGAAGAGCAGCGTGTGCTTCTGACTGTCGAGCATCTCTCCAGCCCCAGGCAACCATTTTCCTGTGTCATCATAAAATATAAATGTAATGGAAATGACTGGGAAGAACCTGCAGTGATGCTTAGTCAGATCTGCTATGGGCAGCCCGTCGCCTGGCTGTCCTTACTTGTGCATTTAGCTCATCAGGGTACT